AAAAAAAAAAAAAAAGAAAATCTGCTAATGATCAGAACGTGGAATGGGCACAGTGTGAATCTAGGGAACTTGAAATGGGACAGAAATGCTATGGAACCCATAAATGGCGGTATCCTTGGCATTGGTTAGCAGAAACGAACTGGTATCGGCATTTTTGATGCAGAAAATCTTATGATTTACTATGCTAGCACTTACACCATCTTGAGGAATGGCGTGGGACTTTGCAAAATCCTCCTTGAAGGACAATGCTGTCTGTGATAGGATTATATCCATCTGGCTTCAAGGAAATTCCATCAGTACAACTATATGCAACTATATGCACCAACCACAAAAGCTAGTGTTGAAGAATGAAAGAATTCTACCAGTGACTTCAATCTGAAATTGTTCAAATATGCGATCATAAAGCATTGATAATTACTGGCCATTGGAATACAAAATTTGGAAACAAAGGGGAAGAAATCGTATTTGGAAAATATGGACTTGGTGATGGGGGGGAAAGCCGGAGCTTGCTTTGTTGTCAAGATTTTTGCAACAAAAAAAGACGATTATACACATGGATGTCTTGAGATGGAATCTGCAGAAATCAAATTGGCAACATCTGTAGGCATTTATGATTGGGAAACTAGGTAGAAATAGCTAGAGCCAGGTAAGGGACTGACTGTTAAACTGACAATGGTGTGCTCATATGTAAGTGCAGAGTGAAGCTGGGGGGTAAAAAAGAAAAGTCCACGAGAACCAAAACAAACGAAAATTTATCCCACCTGAATTTCCAGAGCATCTCAAACAGATTTGATGCATTGAACACTCAGAAGACCCCATAACCTGTGCTGGGGAGATGAAAACCATTCATGAAGAAAGCAAAAGGTCATCAGAAAGACAAAAAAGAGACAAAAGATCAAAGTGGATGCCACAAGAAACTCAAACTTGTTCTTAATAACGGAGTCACTAAAACAAATGCAAGAAAGGATGAAGTCAAAGGGCAGCTGGAATAGACAAAACCAAATATTATAATGAAATGTGTAAAAACCGAGCATTAGAAAACCAAAGAACAACATGCTTAGCACATCTTTTTTTTTTTTTTTTGCTGCAAAAGGAAGCTTTATTGTTTCCATTTGGTCCCGGCTTGGGGGAGGGGCTCCAGGGTAGTGGCGCCCCGGCTGGCGCAGGGGCAGGTTCAGGTAGAGGGGCTAAGGCCCCTCGCAGGTGGCTCAGCGCTGCAGGTCCCTAGTCATGTTTAAGGGTGAGCCTCTCGAAGAGATCCTTGCCCCCACCCCCTTCCCGACACCCCGGCCTGGGGCTGGCCAGCCTGCGGAGGTGGGTCAGGTGGTTGCCCATCTTCTTGAGGAGTTTCACCTGCTCGTCCAGGAAGTGGTTCGCCAGAAAGTCACAGAGATGGGGGTCAGTGTGAGTGGACCCCACGACATGCGTGTCCAGAAGGGCCTGGTTGAGTTTTTTTCTCCAAGGCCAGGGCAGCCTCCATGGCGTCCAGGTTCTACCCCATTCATCTTGGGGCAGAAGGGAGTCCCCGGATCCGTTCCGTTCAAACACTGTTGAAGCAAGACATAGATCCAGGGGGCCACAGGGCGAGCTTAGGGTGGAGTTGCAATCTTGAAAGAGGCTACGGACCAAATACGGAACGGCGAGGGAAGCACCAACATAAGATAGAAAGAATGCACAATCACTGTACCAAGAGACCTGGTGGGCATTCAGGAAGTAGCTTATAAGGAAGAACCACGGTGCTGAAAGAAGTAGTTCAAGCTGCACTGAATTAATACAAGGCTCCAGAAATTGATGGAATACCAACTGACATGTTTCAACAAGTCAATGAAGCACTTGAAGCACTCACGGGTCTGTGCCAAGATTTTTGGATCACAGTTACTGGGCCAACTGACTGGAAGAGCTCCATATTGGTACCCATTCCAAAGAAAGGGGACCCAAAGCAGGGTGCAGGTTTTTCAGAGACACGAGCAAAATTCGCTCCTCTCCAAACTGGACACTAGAGTGTCCATGATCCTAAGGACCCAGCCATGACAGCTGAAAGGGTGGACTACCAGCCTCTGCTCCACTGAGTAATGGAACCATGTGAATTCAGATTACAACCACTTCCAATAACACGGTTCTTGGGGAAGCCACCTATCTCGCAAGCCTCCTAGGTAAGGATGTCCATTGGATTAGTACCAGCAAGCAACTTGCTGTTTGGGCTGTGCTTCACGATGTTAGCAATGATGAGTTTGAAGATGTGCATGTTAGGCTGGACCTAATTTCTTTACCAGACACAATTTTTGGTGTCTGAAGGAAAAGCCTGCCGTGCTGGAGAGGCATCATGTCACCCTTCAGTTGGTCTTCCATGGCGTCAACCAGAGCGAATTCATCTGCCAAGCCTTTCCCTAAGACACAGGCCAGGCCAACAGCACCCAGCCCAACAACCATAATCAGATTCTGAGGGGTCTGGGTCTGTTTTTCCTTAAGAAGATTCTGAGCTTCTGCTTTCTTTGTTATTGATGTTTCAATATCCTCCCACAGCTCATCAGATTTTCTGTCCTTCGTTTTCAATGCATCAAATCTGTTCTTGGAAGTCAGCTGGGATTGCCTCAAGGTCAAACTTGAACTCGTTTTAGTTTTCTTCAGCTTTATCCTGAACTTACATATGAGAAATCGATGGTTAGTTCCACAGTTAGTCCTTGACCTGGTTTTAACTGCGGATAGTGAGCCTTTCCTTTGTCTCTTCCTTCATATGTAGCCGATTTGATGTCTGCATGTTTCAGCTGGAGAAGTCCATGTGTATAGTACACTTGTATTACTGAAAAACGTTGTTTGCAGGAAAACCAAAACCCACAGAGGCAGAAGAGCAAAACATTGCCAATCATCCTTCTGCGGGATAAGGCAATTGCACTTGTAATGTTGTGTTGGGCAGGAGGGCAGGCAACAAATTCAGCTGCTGACAGCCAGCATTCTTGATAGAAGCTCTGAAATAGTTTATTGTGCCAGCCTGGCCGATAAACACAAGTGGGATTAACTGAAGGGCAAAGAGATAAATGCCTTGGTGAGTCTCGCCTTTCTTGTCTCTCACTCTTT